CCAACCATTTGCTTGTCTATGTAATATTTTAGTGTTTTCACTGCAATCAAGATTCTGTCTCAGTCACTGAGTAGAAAACAGCAACAGCCCTGTTCAAAACTTAATTTACCAACAAAATGATGCATTTTTATTTTATTGAGAAATAATATATCTGTTCAAAATGCTTTCAATCTTAAGTAAACTGAATATAAATTATTGAACTGAAATTTAGATTCCAGTGCAGTAAATTAAGGCAATTCATTATTCTGAACAAACTTTCATTAATTTCTCGCAGTAAATTAGTTTCTTAAACATATGCTAGATCAACTGATTATTTTCTTTCGTAACCATCCTAAACTACATAAGTATAAAGCCATTGAAGCAAGACAGCATTTGAACATTGAATTAACAGATAATTTATGACTTTAATCATGTTTCTTATTCAACAAATGATTTCCCTTCATGCAAATTACTTCTTGGTCTACTAACATAGAAATAGTTATAAATGATTAATTCCCTACCGGAATCTACAATGAAGTTTCAATTGACAAATTACTTATATTGGAGATACTTTGTTGATGTATCTCAAAATTTCCATCCACCGTCTGGCAAAAAGAAATTAACTAGCACCAACCTTATTCTTATACTTCTTAAAATAAAAAAATGAAAGAACTGCGGGCCCTGTAAATTTATGCTTGCTTATCTCCTTCTTGATGTAGCTGTGGTTCCTCGTAATAATCCTTTATTTCCACTGCAGCCTGCATTTTGCACGATTATTGTGTTTTAAACATTTATTAGTAGTCAATAATTAAGCTAATTTGCTGATCAGAAAACTGGCAGGAGTAAACCAGCAATTTACTGCTTGCCCAATTTTATTTTCAGTTGAGGGTAATGAAAAGTAAATTGGGCAGTCAGTGTAATCCCCTCAAAAGTTTGCAAGGCTGGTAAAATTAAAAATGATGATAAATTCTTTCGGATTCTCCATCTCTCATTGCTTACAACAGCTATAACTTTCTCTCATTTAAGAGTCATGTGCCATTTCGACACCTCTCCCACTGTGATCAGCAGGACATTTTTTGTCTTTTCTCACTGAATTAACCACATAGAGGCCGGTATCCCATCACCAAGTCATCCTTTATTAACCTGTGCACAGTACATGGAATGGGACCTGCTGACTCAAAGCCAGTCTCTGGACTGAGGAGACCTTCTGAATCTCCTGTTGTTATCTGGCAGCCAGGGCTTTCTGTTTGGCCCAGGTTAACAACCCCAATCAAGGATCTCATAGTCAATGAGATCCACCTGGCCCTGGTTCCAAACACTACACTCGCCATCCATCTTTCGACAATTATTATTTTCTTGTGTGTTTTTTCTTTTTCAAATAGTTGTGTGTTGATTTCAGGCCTTTTACCCATCCTTCATTCCTCCCTTCCCTTCCTATCCCTTCTTTTTCTCCTCCCTTCCTGTATGTCTTCACGTCCTAGGCTGATCCCTACTTTCAGGAACAGAATTTGCTATTACATTTTTAAATACATCCTGAATTGATGACTGCTCTGGAATGAACTTTCCAATTTTTCCATCAAACAAGTTTTATAATTGTTGCATGTTGAAAGTCAAAAGGAGAAGCCACGAAAATGTTCCAAGGGCTGGATCCAGATTTCAGCTTCAATGAAACTATGTAGTGTTTTCTCCTGATTTATTTTGTAGCTGTCTATTTTTCACATTATTGAAAAAAATGTTAGTGAACAACGTTTGAGTCATGCTCCACTCTCTAGTCTTTGTATACCTAATTTATTGGATTACAGAGGTTGAATTTATTTACTATGTTCAGCATGCTTCCTATTCCATCATGGACAAATAACTTTGTGGTAAAAACATGAGAATGAGCTGTTCCACAATAAAATTAGTTCCATTTTTATGTTTTTTGGCCTTATCTGCATTAATTGCATCTGTTATAATAAACGTTGCAGCTCTAAACTTCCTTGTTTTGCACCTGCAATCCACTTATCATTGACGATATAGAGAATGAGAAGGCACAGCAGCTGACAGCATTATCTAGGACTAGCAGAATTTAAGATGTTTATGAGTCTGAGAGATTCATGAGTGATTTCTGCAGCTGGGTGAAATTTTTTTTGCTGTGATTCTTTTTTAACCATTTTCTCTCTATTCATATTTTGCACGGTTTCTGAGCATCACACAGCAGGAGTATTTAACACCTAGCATTCATTTGCTGCTGCTTCTCAGGAGTCAGCATTCCCAATGACTACACGATGAGGAGAAGCAGCAACAAATGAGAACAATAGTTTGGAGGCAACAATACAGCCCACCAAATAATTAACTGCCCCTCACTCCACTCAGATGTACAATTAACATAAGCCTGATGAGTTGATGTTTAAAGAAGAGTGCACTTCAGCAAAGAGACATTTGGGAACACTGCCACTTTTTGTGAGAGGAGCTGCAGCCATGCTTATATTTGTACTTTTAACTCTGTAGCACAGGTTTGGCTGGATTTATCTATTACAGCTCTTACTCCTACACAGCTCATAGTGAAAAGAACTCCCCTTCTACAAATTCATTCAAAGCTAAAGTGGTTAATTTCTTATGAAAATAAACAAAATTTTGTTCAGGATCCACATCAAATACAGCTAATTTTTAATGGCTTCTTTAAACTATCAATCAAATTGTGAATTCAGAACCCATTGTTGAGATAATTGGAGTTTTTAATACCCAGCCAAGCATGAGAGATCTCTGTAATACCAACAAAAGTGCATGGCACATATTCGTCAGATGACCCATGTAGACTACAGAAGGACTAAGGATTCTATCACCTTGTGATCATATTAAAGCAACAGTGAGATAGATTCAGGATGCAATATAAGGTACCTGCATTGCTCCTACAGGAAATCTCCTAATTCCTGATCAGGAGGAATTACCGGCCCCTCAGAAAGCAGATTTTTTTCTGATAACAAGGTGTGATGAAACGTGCCATAATTTATTCCATTTTTAAAATACTTCATGCCCTGTGGAAAAAAAAACAAACAGCTCATTACTCTTTATCATTTATCACATTGTGGCCATTTTCACAACAATCCCTTTTTGGATCTCTCTAGTTGAATTTCTGTCTCTCCCATAATATTGAAACATCTCAGAACAAATTTGGAAATTAATTTATTATGAGTAGACTATTGTTCAAAATTGTTTTCCTCTTCTACCTCTTTTCAGGTTTTGTCATGGACAACCACTCTATTCTCCTCCAAATTCTCTGTGCCATTTTCTATTTGGTTACATTGCCTTTGGTTACTTTCACTAACTGTTACCTCATTGCAGCCAAAGCAATGCAAACAATGTATTTTCTACTTGCTACTGCATTGTTGGTTTTAGAGACCCTCGAGAACAGATGCATCCTCTGCCTTTCAGTTCTTGCTACTTGGCTACATCATCTCAAGGGCTGAGTGATGCTCATGTCCTCTCAGAACTTTTCACCAATGTCACATCACTTCCCACCCAGTATCATCTAGGCCAAGACTAGGAGTTCCCTCTGGTACTGATATTGGAGCAGGTTGGTATAATGCAACTCCGTATGTGATACTGAAATATTGTGCTCCTGGCTCCTTAAGCTGTAGTATGTTCTGCACTTACACATGTAACAGAATCATTTGTAAGCAAAATTCCCATGCTGAACCTGCCCTGCATATGATAGAGTCATAGAGTCATACAGAATGGAAACAGACCCTATGGTCTAACTCATCCGTGCCAACCAGCCATTCCAATCTGACATAGTCCCGTTTGCCAGCATTTGGCCCATATCCCTCTAAACTCTTCCTATTCATATACTCATCCAGCTGCCTTTTAAATGTTGCAATTGTATCAGCCTCCACCACTTCCTCTGACAACTCGTTCCATTCCATTACAGGCACCATCCTTTGTGTGAAAAAGTTACCCCTCAGACTTCCCCACCCTAGGAGAAAGGAAAAAGGCCCTGGCTATTCACCCTATCCATGCCCCTTATAATTTTCTAAACCTCTATAAGGGCACCCCTCTAATCCGCCACACCAGGGACAAAATCCCCAGCCTATTTAGTCTCTCCCTATAAATCAAACCCTCCAGTCCCAGCAACATTCTTGTAAATCTTTTCTGCACCCTCTCAGGTTTAACAACATATTTCCTATAGAATGGAGATCAGAATTACACACAGTATTTTAAAAGTGGCCTCACAAATCTCCTGTATAGCCACAACATGACATCCCAACACCTATACTCAGTGTTCTGACCAGTGAAGGCAAGCTTGCCAAACACCTTCTTCACCATCCTGTCCACCTGTGACTCCAGTTTCAAGGAACTATGCACCTGCATCCCTTGGCCTCTTTGTTCGGCAGTACTCACCAGGGCCCTACTATTAATTGTATAAGTCCTGCCCTGGTTTGCCTTACCAAAATGCAACACCTCACCTTTACCTAAATTAAACTGCATCTGCTACTCCTTGGCCGATTAGCCCATCTGATCAAGGTCCTGTTGTACTCTGTGATAATGTTCTTCATTATCCACTACATTGCCTTGTCAGGAAAATGAGGCAGTGGATTGACTTAATTGGAAAAAAAAAATTAATTCCTTCTATTTCTCTGCTTGGTACAAAAATAAATCTTTTACTTCATACCAGATGCAGTTATGTGTATGATTTAACATTGTACAGAGGATCACACAACAAATAAGTGTTATTATATTAATACAGTACCATGTGAAATGGTCCTGCATCTACACTATTTCGAATCGATTCCATTAATGTATATTGTTGTCATGTCTGGTATAATTAAGTGAATTAGATCAATCTCTACATATGCATTTATTTATCTGAATTCAGGGACTGCATGGTTTGATATTTTATTTATACAAATAATACTTTGTTAAGTTTGCATAAATGACAATAAACCATTGTTATATGAGAGTTTATCTTTATTTGATTTACTTTCTCCACGTTTATTTCTTAATAGTTTTTATATTAATTATTACATTTATTTTATCTCCAGCTCCCCCTAGATTCACAGTTACACCAAAGGACCAGGAAGTTATTGAGGGGCACACTGTGGATTTTGACTGTGTTGCTGAAGGTAATCCAATTCCAGTCATCGCTTGGACCAAAGCAGGTAATTATACACAGTGTAATTATTGGGTATTATGTTTGAATTGTATGAACACTGTATTCTAATTGATACATAATATTTTCCTGTTGAATTTTAGGCTGTGTCTTTGCTACTTAACAAGCTATCTCCAAATGTTATCAAGACTAATATTTTTGCAATTTAAATGTGATTCAATGTAATTTAATCCTGCATCCACATTTTAGTGAAACTTGTACATGTTTCTCATGCTTTCCGTTATCCACCTAATTTAATTGGCTGACTTCTATTTCATTTCCTGGTCTAGGTGTAAAGGACCTTTGTTCTTCCAGGAGATTGAGTCATATGGGATGGATGGGTGTTGGAGATCTGGGCTGGATTTTCATAGGTCCTTTAAAAATGGCAGTAGGTTGAGATCTGGAAGTCCCACCCTGAATTATGAGAGATCCTATTTTTATCTGGTGAGAGGATGATGGGAATTGGGGACATATCTGAAACCCAAATTCAAGAGGGCCATTTGAACTCAGTGCTGAATTTAAATAGACCCCATTTTCACTTGAGTAATGTGAACTGTGGGAGCTACAGATCTTTATAAAGGTTATAAATGTTCTTGAAGACCAGGTCTTTAGAGCTGCTGCTCCACCCCAGCTTGGGGTCTCCTGGCAAGCGAGGAGCAGGTCCAGGGTTGATTCTCCCAGCCTAGACTCGCAGGCTTGGACTAGGCTTCAGGTCTGTAGCTAGGCCCTGGTGCCTGAAGGAGGAGAAGTGGAAGTCTTAGTCCAACGTGGTAGTCTCCCAGTGTGGAGGTCTACTTCATCTTCAGCTTCCAGGTATTCTAGTGGCCCGGCAGGCGGTCTCATCCAGGTATTCTGGTCTTGACCTAGCATGGTAGTCTTCTTCAGTGGAAACTTTTGGCCCAGTATTTGAGCAGCCAGCGAGGCAGTTTTGTCCTGGCTGTGTCTTCAGTGTATTCCATTGTTCCTTAATCAGTTGTCGCCCAGCCCAGGAGCTACCCAGTGGTAAATCTCCTCTGTATCCTGTCTTGTGCAATCACATTCTTCCTGTGATGTAGATTCTGGAACTGCACACAATATCCACCCTCAGGTCACTGTCTGTGTGGAGTTTGCACATTCTCCCTGTGTCTGCATGGGTTTCCTCCGGTTTCCTCCCACTGTCCAAAGATGTGCAAACTAAGTGGATTGGCCATGCTAAATTGCCTGTAGTGTTCAGAGATGTGTAGATTAGGTGGGTTTATAGGGGGATGGGTCTGGGTGGGATGCTTTAGGTTCGGTGTGGACTTGTTGGGCAGATGGGCCTATTTCCACACTGTAGGGATTCTATGGAATCTATGAGTACACTAGCTGTGGCCAAACAGGTATTTATACAGTTCCAACACAGCCTCCCTATTCTTAAAATCTATGCCTCAGCTAATAAAGGCAAGTGCTACATATGCCTTCTTATTCACTTGTCTCACTACTTTAAGAGACCAGTGGACATGTTCAATAAGTTTAATCTGATCCTCGATGCTTCCTACGTCCTACTGCTCATTTATTCTTTTGCCTTGTTTGTCCTGACCAAGTGCATCACCTCACGCTTATCCAGATTGAACTCCATTTGCTCACCTATATTCTTCTGTAACCTAAGGTTATCCTCCTCACTATTTGCCACCTACCAATTTTTGCAATTTCTGCAAACTTACTGATCAACCCTCCTATATTAAAGTATAAATCATTTATATATACCACAAATAGCAAGGTCCCTCTACTGATCCCTGTGGAACCCCAGTAGACACAAGCTTTCAGTCATAAAAACACCTCTTGACCATTACCCTCGGCTTCCTTCCATTCAGCCAATTATGGATCCAATTTGCCAAATTTCCTTGGATTCCATGGATCTTGCCTTCACTGTCAGTCTCCCATGCAGCACAATAACAGAGCCTTCCTGAAGTTCAAGTGGATTATATCAAAAGCATTGCCTCCATCTGTACATTTGGTCACCTCTTCAAAAAAATTCAGTCAAGTTGATTAGCCATGACCTTCCTGTAACTAAAGCATGCTGATTATTTTTGATTAATCCCTGCCTCTCCCTCAGAATTGCTTCCAATCATTTCCCCACCACAGAGGTTAGACTGCCTGGCCTGTAGCTTCCTGATTATCTCTTGCTTCCATTTTGAACAATTGTACCACATTGGCTGTGCTCCAGTCCTCTGGCAACACTCCTGTGACCCAGAGAGGAATTAAAAATTACTACCAGCACCTCTGCTTTCTCCTCACTTCCCTCACTGAACAACCTGGGTTACCTTTTATCTGGTTATACTGAAGACTGAAGAAGGACTGAAGAAGGGTAATACGCAATACGTTGATGGCTCCTTTCTTCCAGATGCTGCTTGGCTTACTATGTTCTTCCAGCCTCCTGTTTGTCCACCTTACATTTTATCTGCGCTGGAGATTTATCTACTTTTAAAACTGCCAAACCACTCAAAATGTCTTCTCTATGTATGTAAATTTCTTTCAGTATATCACAGTCCTTCTCCCTGATTACCACATTGTTCATTTCATGAATGATACACAGTATTAATTTTGAACCTTTTTTGTTAATATATTAATATAATAATATTAACCTACTAAATTACATCCTTTGGCTCAGTGTACAAATTACCACTGTGATCTTTAGTGGGCCCTGCTCATTCCCTCATTATTCTTTTGCCTTTAATCTTCCTGTAAAATACTTAGATTTTTCTTTATTTTACCTGCGATTGTTCGGTATTTGCTTGAGTTTCAGGACTGCATACAACTGATATCATCAAAAGTCACGTGTTGTGGTTTAGTGATCTTAACAGGTTTTTTGAAAGGTTTTGTGGTGCAGTGGGTAGTGTCTCTGCCTATGCATTGGTCTGGATCACAATGGTGTCAACAGTTCAAACCCTCTTCCAGCTAGAGTGGATATGGCACCTGCCACATTGCCCTACCTATAGTAGGGTCATGGTACTATGGTTTGGGGAGGCAGTGGCTCAGTGGTAATATCATCGAACTAGTAATCCAGAACATCAGACTAATGCTCTGAGAGTGTAGGTTTACACTTCACCATGGCAGATGGTGAAATTTGATTCAATAAAAATCTGGAAATTAAAAACTGGTCTAATGACAATCATCTAACCATTTCTGGTTGGCATAAAAACTCTTGTGATTGACTTGGGCTTGATAAGAGTCCCTACCTTTGAGCCAGAAGACACAGCCTCAAGTCCCACCTGCTCCAGAAGTGTCTCATAACATGTCTGAGCACATTGATTAAAAATATCTAACAACTTTTATGCTCATTTTAGAAAATACTCCTTTATAATTTATGATGTCATTATGGTTGAACTGAGCATGACACTCTCCATAGATGTTGTCTGAACCTGCTGAGTGTTTCTAATATTTTATTTAATATTAAATTTAACACATCCAACTTCTGCGATATTTTGTTTCTGTTTAAAGTGTATGGTGTTAGGTACATAAATCATGCAGCGTAGAACACAGACACAAAAACAAATTAAAAAGGCTAATCGATAGCCCTTATCTTAATGTTCTTTTGCAATTGAAAAGACCCTATTGTAAGAATTGCATTCACTTTCAGACACTGAACTCAGGAAGGATATACTAGCTGCAGAAATGGTGCTGAGCAGATTATCCAGAGTTTTGAAATTTTATTTATTCTTTCAGGGATGTGAGCATCAGTGCCTAGGCTAGCATTTATTGCCCACCCCTAATTATTTTTATGAAAGTGGTGATGAACCACTGCAATCCATACAGTGCAAATCCATCCATTATGCTGTTTAGCAGAGAGATTCATAACTTTGATCCAGTGGCAGTGAAGGATATGGGATATAGTTCCAGGTCAGAGTGGTCTGTTGCTTGGAGAGAAATTTGTAGGTGATAATGTTCCCATGCTTCTATTACCCTTTTCCTGTCGGTGAAACAGGTTTCAAAGGTGTTTTAAAGTTTTAAATGATGGCAGGTTGAATAAATTTTGCGTGTATTCCCTTGAGTGTAGAAGTTTGAGAAATCATCTAATGATAATTTAAAATGTTAAAATGGTTCAACATGCTAAGTAAAGCAATGTTAAATTTCTGTGCCAGAAGGATGCAGAACAGAAAAATACAATCTTGAATGAGGCTATTCTGTATTGAAGTCAGGAAGCACTTTATCCCATATTGTAGTAGAGATCTATAATTCTTTCCCTAAGGAGGCTGTAGATCAATTTAAATTTTCATGATTGAGATCAATAGATTGTTATTACATAAGATATCAAGTGATATAGATATAGATCAATACAGTGTGGAGCTGGAGGAACACACAAAGTCAGGCAGCATCAGAGGAGCAGGATCAAAGGTAGGTAAACTAAGTTGTCTTTGTTAATATCTGGTGAATCACATTGTTAAGGATTGTTAATGTATTTATAATGTTAAGAGAAATAGTTAGTAGCTATTTATTTGTCTCTGAACACTTCTAATATGGATCAGTTGGGATACTAGATATTGGATGAGAGGAATAAGACTGATCAAATCAATCAACTCTTTCCATAATGAAGAGATGTGTATCTTGGTTTTTATTTCACCAAATGGTTTGGAATATATTAACAAATAATACTCATGTTAGTATGTGGAGGAATATTAAATAATACAATTTATTTTAACTTACTCTCCTTTTTGCAATCATTGTTGTAATAAAATGCTTCATCAATGATTACTATGGAGGAAAGATCCATAACAATGATAGAAAGTGATCTTACGCTAACTGATGTTTTAATTTATTATAGAAAACGATGCCTGATTTTTGCAATGACTGAAGAAGTGCTTCCCTGCTTTCCATTTACAGGAGGCCAGCTTCCCAATGATAGAAGGCATGCTGTATTACCCACAGGAACGCTGAGAATTGTAGAAGTTGCTGCTCATGATCAGGGACAATATGAATGCCAGGCGATCAGTGTTGTACAAGTCAAACTAGTTCCAGTGCAGCTAAAAGTGCAACCCAAAGGTATATTTATTTACTCATGGGTTCTGAAGAAGTGTTATTGGACTGAAAACATTAACTCTGTTTCTCTCTCTACAGATGCTGCCAGACCTGCTGAGTTTCTCCAATATATTTGTCTGATAAAGTATCCAACATTCGTATGGTTTTGCTTTTATTTATTTATACATAATTTGTTATGTTGATCTTGTGGTTTCTATAACATAAATGATAGTTGCACGATAGAAGTCACATTTCAGTGATATGAACAACACAAACTATTATTCTGAGGAAGGATCACCAGAGCCAAAACTTTACTCTGATGTTTTTCTTCATAGATGCTGCCAACTTTTCCAGCAACTTCTGTTTTTGCTCCTGATTTACAGCATCTGCAGTTCTTTTGGTTTTTCCAAACTATTATTGTGCATTTTCATTTTAAAAGAAAACCATTGGGTCTTTTTTTTTAGAAATGTCTGCCATTTTAGACAATTATTCTAGTAAAATTATTGCCGATATTTGTACTGTCCATTAATTTATACAAGAAGGCCAAAACTGCACAGAGCACTCCAGGTGCAGTCTCATCAATGCCCCGTACAACTGCAGCGAGAAGTCACTGCGCCTGCACTCAAATCATCTTGCAATGAAGACCAACCTACTACCCGCTCCACCTGCATGCTGATTTTCAGCAACTGGTATACCAAGCCACCCGGGTCTTGTTGCACCTCCCCTTTTCTCAATCTATCACTATTCAGATAATCTGCTTTCCTGTTTTTGTCACCAAAGTGGATAATCTTGCACTTGTCCACATTATAAGTCATCTACCGTGAATTTGCCCACTCATCTTGTCCAAATCACATTGAGCATCTCTATCCTCTTCACAGCTCACCCTCCCATGCAGTTTTGTGTCATCTGAAAACTTAGACATATTACATTTAGTTCCTTCAACTAATTCCTTCTTTCTGCATGTATATTATATATTCCACCTACTGTTATAACTATATACCCTGAATTTCCAATGAACCTCAATCATAATTTTGGTATTGACTAATATGCACTGTCTAATATATTGAACTTCTATCGCTGATTTATGGTGGGCACAACGTGATGCAATTTCTAGACCTTGATAATATTAAGGTACAAATGGATGGCAAGAACTTTGCACCCAAGACCTTATGATCAGAGGCCAATATAATCAATTTTATGCAAAGCTCACTTCCTCTCTCATGACCCAACAATTTCATTGTGAATTCTGCAATTATTCCTGGAATACTCTCCAGTGCTGCTATAGTAAGATAAACATAGAGTCATAGTCATACAGCACAGAAACAGACCCTTCAGTCCAACCCGTCCATGCTAACCAGGCATCCCAATCTGATGTAGTCACATTTGCCATGCGCATTTGACCCATATCTAAGTAAATCCCCCTATTCATATCCCCATTCAGATGCCTTTTAAATGTTGTAATTGTACCCACCTCGACCACTTCCTCTGGCAGATAATTCCATTCACGCAACAAGCTCTGTGTGAAAATGTTATCTCTCAGGTCTCTTTTAAATCAAATGTAAATAATGGCACCATATTAGCCAACCTCCAGTCTTCTGGCACCTCACCCATGGCTATTGATAATACAAATATCTCATTAAGGGCCCAGCAATCTCTTCCGTAGTGGCCCACAATGTTCTGGGCTACACTTGCCCAAATCCTGGGGATTTATCTATCTTTATATGTTTTAAAACGTCCAACAGCTCCTCTTCTGTAATTTGAATTTTTCTCAAATCATCACTATTATTTCCCCAAGTACCCTAGCTTCCATGTCTTTCTCCACAGTAAGTACTGATGTGAAATATTTGTTTAGGAACCACCGTCTCCTGTGGTTCCGTATATAGCTGGCCACATTGATCTTTAAGGTATCTTATTCTGTCTCTAGTTACTCTTTTGCCCTTAATGTATTTATTGAACTCTTTGGATTATCCTTAACTTTATTTGCCATAGGTATTTCATGTCCCCTTTTGCCCTCCTGATTTCTCTCTTAAGTATGCTACTACTGCCCTTATACTCCTCGAGGGATTCACTCAATCTCAGCTGTCAATACTGGATGTATACCTCCTTCTTTTTCTTAACCAGAGCCTCAATTTTATTAGAGATAGTAGGAACTGCAGATGCTGGAGAATCCGAGACAACAAGGTGCAGGGCTGGATGAACACAGCAGGCCAAGCAGCATCATAGGAGCAGAAAG